CGTTTGCCGCAAGCGACCAAACGGCCCGGCCTTCGTTGGCGGAGGTCCAGGCAGACGGGGGGGAGGGGGGGGGGGCAAGAACTTGCGGGCCGGGGCAACAACCCCCCAACGGACTCCCGCCCCGGGGTGGCGGCCGGGGCCAAAGGGGGGGGGGGGCCGGCGGCGGGGCGGGACACACTGGCCTTGTTACAATAAAACCTAGTTGCCCTCGGGCTGGGGCTCGGGTGGGCCCCTCTCCTCCGGGGCGCCTCTAGTGCGCGGGGCGATGGGCAGCGCGAAACGCAAGGGACGGGGCACGTGCGTGCGCGAGTGCGCGCGCGCTCGCGACCGGCCTCTGTGTACGCCGAACGAGGCGTGCCCGTCGACGCCCGGCGCACGTAACCTGAAGGTAGGCAGCTGGCCCGGGTCCGGGGGGGGGGGGGGGAGGGCGCAGGGCCGCGAAGTGCCTCCCCCCGGTACGCTGGCGAGCTCGACCCGCGTCCGAGCCTTCCGCGCACCAGATGGTAGACGGGGCCGGGAACACAGCCGGGGGCCGTGCCCGAGAAGGGGCGGGATGATTTAAACATATATTGGTCAGGCTTATTTAATGGGCCTTTGGGTGGGCTATGAATCATCCCCGGCGCCGGGCCCTGCCACGCCCGGGCACGCGCATGTGTGCACAACGGACGATGGGGGGCGCACCAGGGAGCAGCGGGGGACCAGGACTCCGCGCGCGCGCGCGCGCGCCCCTCCCCCTTGGGCCTTTTTTAGGGTGTGGGCATTTGCCCGCCCAACCCTCCTGCCGCGGACGGGCTCTCTCCCCCCCCCCCGCTCCCTGGCCGGGGCGAGCCGGGGCACCCGGGCGCGGCGCACGGTGCGCGGCCCCGGACGCCGGCGAAGACACACACACGGACGCCGGCGTGCTGGTTGTCCCCCGCCCGCGCCCCGCGTCCGTTAGATGTAGAGGCGCACCAGTCGCCGGGGGCAGGGGCCCGGGACGCGCCGGGGACATGCTGGGCGTGGCGTCACACCCCGGCGGTGTGGGCGGCTGGCGCCTGATGGGTTGTTGTCCTCTCCAGCCCGTCCCCCGCCCCCCCCCCCTCCCGCGACGTGCCAGCTCCGCGGACCTGGACGCGGTATCTGGCGCAAGAGCACGGGGGCCCCCGGCCAGCGGGCCGGGGTGGCTGTCTGGCGCCGACGCACCCGCACTCGCACCCGCACATGCACTCGCGCCCGCTTCTCGCGGTGCCGCCGGGCGTCGAGGGCCGGCGGCGGGGGGGACCTGAAAAACCACCGGAGCCTGGGCTCGCCGGCTGGTCTGGCTTCCAAAAGCCTCCCTCTCCGCGTTTCCCCTAACCTGTGATTGGCTTTTGGTCGTGCGTACCCCGCGTGCCCTTCGTCAAGACTCCCCCCTCCCCCCTCTCTGTTCCCCCCCCCCCCCCCCCCCCCCCCCCCCCCCTCCGCCTCCCCCTCCGCCTCTGCCCCCCTTCCCCTCCCCTGTCCACACCTTCGCCCCTGCCGCCCTGCTGCTGGCCGCGCTGTAGGGCTGTTTGGCCCGCGTGCTCCATGCGCATGTGTATTCCACGTACACGCACGTACGTGCGCGCACACACATATGCACTGAGCTCCCGAGGGTGGACCTCCTGCTGAGGTCCCTCCTCTGCCCTGGTCTCTTTGCACCGATGCGCCGCGCGTGCGCCCGCACGCCCCACGCGGCAGCCGCGCCGATGCGTCCCTCGGCCCGGCGGCCGGCCGGCCGGCCCGCGGCCTCCTCCGGTCAGGCTGCCGAGCGCCGGCGGTCTGGCGTCCTGGCTCGACCACCTGCCCAACCGGCCAGCCAGCTTACCTTACCGCGAGCGGCTGACTGGGAGGCCGGGCTCGCGCTTGCTCCCCCCCCCCCCCCCCCCCCCCCCCTGCTCCACGCACATCCAGCCCATGGCTCCATGCGGCCCTCTCCCTCCCTCCTCCCTCCTCCTTCGCCGCCTTCGCCGCCTGGTCTCCTCCTTGTCCTCCCACCCCCTGTGCTGCCCGCCCTTGCCGAGTCCCCTAACACCGCGCCGCCTCCCCCTTGCGACTCTTCACCCCTGCCACCCATCCGTCCACCCGCGCCCCGCCCCCCCCCCCCTACAAGCAGAAACCCAACAAGATGCTTTCCGCCGCCACCACCCGCCTCACCAGCGCCTCCGCCCGCCCCCTGGCGCGCATGTTTGCCACGCAGACCGCCGCCTCTCTGGCCGGCCCGGAGACCCGCATGACCACCCTGCCCAATGGTCTGCGCGTGTGCACCGAGAACAACGGCTCCGAGACCGCCAGCGTTGGTGTCTGGATCGACACCGGCAGCCGCTACGAGACCGAGGAGACCAACGGTGTCGCCCACTTCCTGGAGCACGTGTCCTTCAAGGGCACCCACAAGCGCACCGGCCCCAGCCTCGAGCTTGAGATCGAGAACATGGGCGGCCACCTGAACGCCTACACCGCCCGCGAGCAGACCGCCTTCTATGCCCGCGTGTTCAAGAAGAACGTCCCCCAGGTCATGGAGCTCCTGTCGGACCTGCTCCTCGTGCGTGCTTCTTCCCCCTCCTGGCGCGTCGCTCGCGCCCCGCCTTCTGTTCGCCTCCTTCTGACGCTGACGGCTTTGCTGTCCCCCCCCCCCGCACAGAACTCCAAGTACGAGGACCGCCACATCGAGAGCGAGCGCTCGGTCATCCAGCGCGAGCTCGAGTCCATCGAGGCCGACAAGATCGAGTACCTCAACGACCTGCTCCACTCGGCCGCCTACCAGTGCCACCCCCTGGGCATGACCATCCTCGGCTCGTCGGAGAACATCAACTCCATCTCCCGCGAGGACATCCAGAACTACGTCAAGAACAACTACACCGCCTCGCGGATGGTGGTCGTCGGCGCCGGCGGCGTGGACCACGACGAGCTGGTCAAGATCTCTGCCGACGTCTTCGCCGGCCTGCCGGACGTCGTGGACACCAAGCCCGCCCTGGTCAAGCCGCGCATCATCGGCTCGGAGATCCGCGTCCGCAACGACGAGATGCCCTACACCTATGTCGGCCTGGCCCATGAGGGTGTCAGCCACACCAGCCCGGACTACTTCCCGATGATGATCGCCCAGAGCATCCTCGGCTCCTGGGACCGCAACATCGCCGGTGGTGCCAACGTCTCCTCGCGCCTGGCCCGCCGCTTCGCCGTCGACGAGCTGGTTTCCTCCTTCGCCGCCTTCAACATCTGCTACCAGGACACCGGTCTCTTCGGCCTGCAGATGGTCACCGACAACAAGCTCCGCCTTGATGACCTGCTCTACAGCGCCCAGTATGAGATGGTCCGCCTGTGCCTGGACATCACCCCGGAGGAGGTCGAGCGCGCCAAGAAGCAGTACCTCACCTCCGTCATGAACGGCCTGGACAGCAACTCCCTCATCGCCGAGGACATCGGCCGCAGCGTCCTCTCCTTCGGCCGCCGCCTGCCCCCGGCCGAGCTTGTCGCTCGCGTGTCCAGCGTCACCGTCCAGGATGTCCGCAATGCCTGCATGGAGCGCATCTACAACCGCGACCCGGTCCTGGTTGGTATTGGTGCCATCGAGGGTCTGCCCGAGTACAACCGCGTCGAGCGCGCCACCGCCTGGCTCCGTTACTAAGTGGCGGG